ATCCATCAACGATTTAGTGCCAACTAAGGAAAATAAGCGAGTTATAATTATCTAGATGTTCCCTCTACTGACATTTAACTTCTTTCAAGCTTAAAATGTATGGACTCTATGCCGCCGTCTGGTGTAGCCAGCCCTTGTAACTTGGTACTTTTTTTAACTCGGGACGGGGGTCTGTAGAATAGGCCTGGGAGGAAGCCCACTCGAGTGCGATTGCACACACACACACACACACACACACCCACACACACACACACACACACACACACACACACACACACACACACACACACACACACACACACACACACATACATACACACGCGCACACACACACACATATTTGCTCAGGTGCAATACTTTCGGTTTGACATTCCGCCGGCGCTGAATGCGGAGGGCCAATATCCAAAGTTTGGCCCACCCCACCTCGGCTGCCGCCTCTGCAGATATGTGGTCGATAACCACGACAAGCACTTGCCCAAGCTGAGCGGGAGCGAAATTGCAGCAAAGGTCGGCGATGTGCTCATCGACTACTTCAACAACCAGCAAGGCCACACGCCGCACCGCCCGGGCAGCGTGGTGCACGAGCCGCACATATCCACGTCACCAGCGCCGTCTGCGACTGGGCAGGCGGGTGGCGGTGGTCTTGACGGCGAGCACGAGGACAATGGACGGAGCCAGGGCCACGACAGTACAGCAGCAACAGCAACAGATGGTGATAATGATGAGGATGGTGGGAGAGATGGGCCCGGCAGCTGCAGTGGCGGTGCGTGTGGGGCGTTGAGAGAGGAGATGGAGGCCGAGTTGTCGCGGATGCGAGATCTTGTGTCGCTGCATGCGCTTAAGATCAACCAGCTGGAGCTGCAAATCATGCAACTCAAACAACACAAGCAGCAGCAGGAAGATGGGAAAGCTGGCGTGTGACGTGCTGCTGTGACGTGTTGAGGGGAGGGGGGGGGTTCACAGTTTACGTTATGTTGCATAAGGCATGAACAGCAGCTTGAACTCTTTGAACTGCGTGTCGTCGATTCCTTGCTTCTTGTGAACTTGCAATGCTTGCCCCGTTCAGCACATTCTGCCCGGCATGAACCAGTCATTGTCTCTGCCAATTGCACACATCAAACCTTGCATGGTACATGCGTTATCTTCTCTCCGGCTGCTACTCGCTTGCTTGCTTGCATGCATGCATGTTTGCTTCTTACTCGCTTGCTTGGTCGGTCGTTACACTGTTTGTCGTGGCGGCTGAGGTGGATTGGATTTGCAGCAATCTCAACAGTCAACGTCAATTCGTGTCTGCTTTTGTACTCGCACACAATGAAGCGAGAGATCAACAGCAACAGTTGGGCCTCTGTGGTGCTGGTCGCAGCAGTGGCAGTGGCAGTAGGAGCAGCGGGAACACTCGGCAATGACATGCCTTGCCAGCCAAGCGGCACGGGGTCAGGGAGGGAGTACACGTCTGACCGCCACCCGCGCGTGCTGTCCAAGATTGGCCTGGACGCAGAAGACGCAGCAGAAGCGTTTCATGTCAGCGACGTGCAGGCGTTGGAGAAGAACATCCGCAGCTGCATCCAAGAGAGCGCCGAGCACACATCGGCGCCGTCTTCGTTCAGAGCGGACCAGCGACCCGTGCACTTCTTTGTCATCTCTTATGGTGGATCCGGGAGCAAGACCTTCTGGCACTTCCTGCGCAAGTATGGCAAGTCATACCACATCCACGATCCGCATCCAGTAGAGGAGCTGCACATGCCTGCGCCGACGCACACAGACACAGCCATGTCCGTGTCCAAACACAAGATCCCAACAGCGGACCTCCATCTCTTTCGTGTCATCGTGCAAGTCCGCGACCCGTGCGAGGCGGCGTGCTCTCACCTGCACCTTGGGCTGAACAAGAACCATTGCCGCAACATGCTCAACTCAAAGTCGCACTGCCTCAACGGCCCACAGAGCTACGAAGAGTATGTACAGCGCGGAGAGGACCACATTGGGTTTGACAGGTTCTACCAAGCGTGGATGGACCCGGAGAAAGCCAAGCAGCGCAACTACAACATTGTCATCCTCAACTTCCACAAGATGTGGGACCACAAGGAAGAAGTGATCCGTGCCCTGGGTCTCCCACCATCGGCCATCAACGACTTCCCAACATCTTCTGCGGCGAGTGAGGAGGAGCGTGCCAAGGTCAAGGCATCATGTCCCCACGACGGGCTGTACAAAATCTACAAGAACGTCACCGACGACATCTACTTCAGGCTCCCTGCCGTCTCGTACCTTGGCCCGGGACCCTTCCCATAACCACTGTTGTTGTCAGTGTGTGTGTGTGTGTGTGTGTGGATGTGTGTGGGTGTGTGTGGGGGTGTGTGGGTGTGTGTGTGTGTGTGTGTGTGTGTGTGTGTGTGTGTGTGTGGTTTGGTTTGGAAGAGGATTCACCCGTGCTTTTCATGCATGCCTTTCTACGTCGCAGTTGTTATGACGCCACATGTATAAGTCTGTGTATGGTGGAGGGGGATTAACCTTGCATGGAGCATAACGCGCGTCTGCAATCAAACATGACTGCATGCATGTTCGTGTCATGCATAAATGATTGGGAGACTATTCACCCATGGTCGCGGTCACATTCTGAACAGCGGCCACAAAGTCATCAAACAGCCAGTCAGACCAGTCGTGCACAGCCACGTATGACACGCGCGCGCTGGCCTTGCTCTTGGTGGGGAGGAAGCGACAAGCAATGGTGAGCTGGTGCGCGTCCTGCAGGCCCTCCAATGCCAAATGATAGCGATGGTTGCCAATGGTCTGCATGGGTGTGAGCGTTGTCACGAAATGCTCCTTGTTGTTCGAATCCGTGTAGAACATGAAGTAGCTCTCAATCAACTGGTTTGTGTGTGTGTGTGTGTGTGTGTGTGTGTGTGTGTGTGTGTGTGTGTGTGTGTGTGTGTGTGTGTGTGTGTGTGTGTGTGTGTGTGTGTGTGTGTGTGTGTGTGTGTGTGTGTGTGTGTGTGTGTGTTGCAATGTGAAGAAAACGCCGCCACCAAAACACGACCTGTGTGCTGACGATTTGCGGAGGATCGGTCCACTCATGCACCGGCGATTCAAACGTGCGCCGGCGCCAAAGTCCAAACTCGAGATATCGCTCCACGTCTGGTTTGGGAAGGAAGCCTTTGGTGTAGATACGATGATATGTCGTTGTGTGCCATGAGAGGGCTGGGGTGAACGCGAGCAGCATAATCACAGCGCCAAATGCATACACACTCACTCACTCACACACTCACTCACACTCACTCACACACACTCACACACTCACTCACTCACTCACTCACACACTCACTCACACTCACACACACTCACACACTCACACGCATACAACACGCCGTACCTGTGGTGTCTGGGCCCATGTTGAGCACGAAGTTACAACCGCGGCCGACAGATGTGAAGTAGTTTGCCAGCAGCTCCGGCACCGTGTAGCGGCGGTCTGCAGATGGGAGAGGGGAGAAGAAGGGAAGAGGGAATACATGAAGAGAGAGAGGGGGGGACACACAGACACGCACACACACAGTTGGCGGAGGTGCAAGTGAGTGGGTGTGACACAGACGCACACGCACACACACAGTTGGCGGAGGTGCAAGTGAGTGGGTGTGACACAGACGCACACGCACACACACAGTTGGCGGAGGTGCAAGTGAGTGGGTGTGACACAGACGCACACGCACACACACAGACGCAGACACAAGCGTAGCTTTATGATACAGACACGAGGGTGCACACACATTGTTCCATACCTGAGGTGTATGGCTCCCAGAACCAGAAATGCTGATTCAACACGCCGTCGCAGTGGCTTGGACAGTAGCGCGTGCCGTCGGGCGAGCCGTAGTGGTTTCCTAGGACCATCACACACACACACACACGCACGCACAAGCACACACACACAAGCACAAGCACAAGCACACACGCGCGCACACAAGCACACAAGCACAAGCACACGCACACAAGCACACAAGCACATATCATGAACGATCATTGAGGTGAGCACAAACAACGTAACAAACCGACGATTGCACACACACACACACACACACACACACACACACACACACACACACACGCACACCGCAAAATCACACATCACAGAACATCGCACAGCACATACAAGTTTCTCCTCACCGTCAAAGTCGCTGCAGTCCTGGTTTTGGCTGTTCCAGTTTGGATATGGCATGCGAGCGAGTTCATTGCCCATCCAAGACACAGCATGTGCCGCGCTGGCGGATCCGCAGTGGTGGCATGTCGTGTTGGAGTTCTCCAACGTCTGGATGATCTTGTTGAACTGTGTGGGCATACAGCAGTGCAATCGGTGCAGTTGGGGGGGGGACGCGGTGAGCGCTTGGCAAGAACAACACAGGACTTCTCACGACGCTGACAGGGTGCTGCACAGATACACAGAAGTAAAGAAATGCTCACACAAAGCGAAGGCACAAGGCAAGAGGCCACCAACGCAGACAATGTAAGGCCAAACAGGAAGCGAGTCATGCCTCGACATGACATTACACAATACGTATTCTACAGCCACGCGGTGGCAATTCTTGTGGCCACCTCTTCGATGAGCAATTCGCCTTGAAGCCCGTCATCCAGCCACACTTGAGCCGCCGGGTTGTCGCCAAACTCGTCAAGCAGCTCCTTGAAGCGCGCCAGTTGGAACAGCACATCCACGGTTGTGGCGTTGAAGTTGACGACGTGGCGGTGCCAATTGTTGTGGAAAGAGTAGAACACGCCCGGCCGAATGCCATGCTCTTCTGCGCTCTCAAGAAAGTCCGCAACAACATTGCCCATGCCGAACCGCCATGGAGAATGCTTCACCGTGAAGGTGCTCACTGTTGAGAGTGAGTGAGAGTGAGAGTGTGTGTATGTGGGTGTGGGTGCGTGAGGGTGTGTGTGTGTGTGTGAGGGTGTGTGTGGGTGTGTGAGAGTGTGTAAGTGTGAGTGTGTGTGTGTGTAAGTGTGAGTGTGTGTGTGTGTGTGTGCGTGGAGGCAGGCGGAAGTTGTGTGGACGTGGGTGGGAGCATTGCTGCACAAACGACTCAACACGGCAAAATGCCAGCACGGTTCATGTCAGTCAGCTAAGCAGAGGGTCATCACACGCCACTTCAACACCGAGACCTCAAGACATAAGGACAAATGTCATCAACATCTCCTTCGCCCCGTACATTCTGAAGGCCACGTGGAGAACCCGGAGAAGTGGTCTGCAACGTATACGGCGTACTTTGCGCCCACGTCACGCGCCAGGGACAACCACTGGGCCGTGAACTTCTCTGAGGAAGGTGAGAACTGAGCGGCATCGAGCACTGCGTCCGGGGTACGGTTACCAGGAGGCAGGTAGGTGAGGTAGTTGAAGTGGATGATCACCCCAAATGTGTCTTCGTGGAAGGCGAGGTGTGCGGGGCTGGGCTTGGGCACATCGTAAACGGTTGTGTGCGGTTTGTCCCAATGAGCCGGGCGAAACTGCTTGCTCTTGGCCACCCACTTTTCATCCAGGTGCATCTGCGTGGCATTGGTGCCCGTTTGCTCCGATCTTGCTCCATTGCTTCCAGCGACAGCCACCGCCAACACAACACCAAACACAAACAAGCACGCCTTCCCCACCGCATTCATCGTCATCTTCACCCTCAGCATCGTTCGTCTGTCTTCTTCGTTTGTCATTCCAGAAATGTGTATGAAGTTATTCGCGAATCGCCAGCACCACAGACGACGACAATGGCCAAGATGAAGACAGCAGAGACACCAACAGCAGCGACGCTGCCGCGGTGGCTGCGGTTGTCACTGACAGCGACCAACTATACAGCCTTCTTCTGCCTGGGCTTGCTGTTGTCCTTGCTGGGGCCCACGCTGCTGGACCTGGCCACCCGCCTCGATGCCACCATTGCCCACATGGCACTGGCCTTCACCGCGCGCAGTCTGGGCTACTTGCTCGGCAGCATCGTGGGCGGACTCATCTTCGACCGCACCGCGTACAGCGCCACCATGCTCGCCACCACGCTGCTTCTGGCCGCAACCGGTTCCTTTTGCGTGCCGCTCGCCAAGAACGTCCCCGTCTTGGCGGCAGTGGTGTCGCTGCAAGGGCTGGCCATGGGCTTCCTCGACACGGGAGGAAACGTGCTGCTCATCCGCTGTTGGAAGGCAAACTGTGGACCATACCTGCAAGGGCTCCACTTCTGCTTTGGGGTTGGCGCATTCATCGCGCCGCTGCTCGCAAAGCAGTTCATTGCGCAAACATCCACCATTGAGGGCATCAACTGTACAGCCACCGCGACGTCACCACCGTCCACACTCGCCACAACACCCGTCACGCCACTGGCGACGACGACGACGATGACCGTTGCTGCTGGCGATGGCGAATCAGGGACCGTGCCGCCCGGGTTTGAGTCTCACGTCGCCACAGCATACCGCATCGGGGCAAGCCTGCTCTTGCCGCCCGCACTTGCCTTCTTGGCCCTAGCGCGCTTCACGCCACGTGACATCATGGCTGGCGGCCACGGTGGCCATGGTGGTGACGGCGCGGCAGACGCGACGCCAAAGCCACGCTCGCGCGTGTACGTGGTTGGCCTGCTGTCGGCTGCGTTCTTGTTCTTCATGCTGTATGTGGGCACGGAGGTGAGCTACGGCGGCTACATCTACAGTTACACCGTCAAGAGCTGCGAGCTGCAGTTTTCGGAGCATGACGGCGCGCTGGTGACGTCCGTCTATTGGGGGCTGTTTGCTGTTGGTCGCTTCTTTGCCATCCCGCTCTCCACGCGGTTCAGCCCGCGCACGCTCGTCATTGTGGACCTCGTCGGCTGCATGCTCGCCTCCGTGGCAATGGCGTGCTTCCCGCACAACGCAACGGTCATCTGGATTGGCTCGGGCGTGTTTGGCTTCTCCATGGCCAGCATCTTCCCGAGCGGGTATCACATGGTCGAGACATACATGGACATCTCCAACGCCGCCACCAGCATATTGGTTGTTGGCGCGGCGCTTGGCGAGATGCTGATTCCACTTGCCGTGGGCACGCTCTTCGACCGCGTTGGCCCGGAGACGTTCCTTGTCATCATCGTCATTGTGCTGTCCATTGCAACGGGGGTGTTTTTGTTCATGATGGCGTGGGTGCACCACTTCAACAAGCACCTCACGTCATCATCATCATCAGCGAGGGTCACGTACAACATTGTCGGCGCAGACAGCATGCTCATGCACGAGCTCGGGGGTAGCGCTGCGTTCGCCATCACAGACAGCAGCGATGATGACTTGGACGAGGACTTTGCACTGCCGCCCTTGGACGGTGCCCACATGCACGCAATGGTTGATGATGACGACGACGACGACGATGATGATGATGAGATGGTGTATGACTTTGCTGCTGGAGAGATGAAGCGACGACTGCTGTGATTTAAGGGTGTGTGTGTGTGTGTGTGTGTGTTTGTGTTTGTCTTAGGGTTGGAGGAGTAAGAAGATCCACCATGCGTGCTTCGCATGCCTGTTGTTGCGCCTTTCATTTCATTTTGATGATCACCAAACAAACACCCAATAGACGAGCAGAGATCCAACTGCGACACACAATGAGAATGCAAGAGCACATGTGTGCACTCGCGAGCCGACTGCTTCATGGGCAGAAGTTACACACATGCACACAACGATACAGACGAACACACGCATGCACATACACACACACACATACGTGCACATGCGCGCATGCGGAGCTGCTGTCGGTGTCACGTGGTTGAGGTTGAAGGCGTTCTGTGCTGGCGGCGCCTGCGCTGCGTCTTCTTCATCTTGATTGGCATCGACACCAGCGCGTCCGTCGCATCAGCAGCATCAGGATCGCTCTGTCCACAGGGGATGGTCAGCCGGTCGCCTGCAGCCATGCATGCAAGTGTGTGTGTGTGTGTGTGTGTGTGTGTGTGTGTGTGTGTGTGTGTGTGTGTGTGTGTGTGTGTGTGTGTGTGTGTGTGTGTGAGTGAGTGTGCCCGACAAGTAAAGGTCCAGGGGCCCATGTGCGGGATCTCTCGGTCCTGCAAGGTGTGGTGCTTTGGATTCGTGGGAAGGGCGTAGCTACGTCATCGCTGTGAAGCGAGAGAAATTAGGATCATTGGTAGAGCGTAGAAGCTAAAAGGACATGAAGCTAAAACTAACTCCCTTTCCGGTACAGAAGTGTGAGTGAGTAGAGGGTGTAAATAAAGGGTTATTTGAAGCCCCTTTTTTTTTTTTTTTCAGAAAAAAAAAGATACATGCGAATACAACCACAGCCAAGGAAGAGAGAAGAAGA